ACTTTTATTAATTTTTTCTATTATATTCTAAATTTATTTGACTTGAAAGGAAATAATATTTATAAAACTGGAAAAAAATAGAACTATATATTTCTGTTTTAGATCAATTTTGGAGGTTTCAATAATTTATGTGTATGTGCATATATTTCTTTCTCTAATGCACTGAGTAAATAATACGGTAAAATAATTACCATTATCAATTCAAATTATCTGCTTATTTCTTTTCTTTACCCAGCAGTAAAAAGTACTTTATTGTTATTATTCATTATAGTTGTATATAGATATTGATTTGGGGTTGAGGGCAAGATATTGAAAATTGAGTGATGGCTTGATTTTCTTTTTGGGCACTTTATTAAGGTTTTAAGAATTTGCATTTAAAAATTAGGGACTGAATCATTAAGTCTAGGGATTTGGTTGAATTTTATTTTGAGACTAATCCATTATAAAAAAAAAAAAATAGAATTACGTACATAAGAAATAATATTATAAATAGCTTGTACGATAAAATCCAATACAAATTAAGCAATTGTATTTATTTTAATCTAAAAAAAAAACTTATACTTTAATATTATATAGAAAAACTAATAAAATTGTATTTATTTTAATCTAAAAAAAAAACTTATACTTTAATATTATATAGATAAAAAATTAAAAAAGTACAAATATATAACGAGCATAGTTAACGTATAAGGTACGTCATAAAAAAAAACTAGTATATATAAAAGTAATTATAACCTTGATATTCATTTTACATTTTAATAATAATCTCTACCAAAATTTTATCAAACACTAACATTCATCAACTAACCGTTATTAGTTTTAAGCAGGCATGATAGTTAATCCAAACCGCCCTAAAATACTATCCTTTCCTTTTATTTATTTTGTCAAGAAAATGGATATTTTCATTTGCATGTAATGAAGACCTAATTCACGTTTCTAATAAGTTACAAATAACAAAAACCCTTTTTTTTTTTGTAGAAAAATGACAAACTATTTTAATTATTAATTTAGTGTACATAATTCATGTTTATAAATATAGGTCCCGTTTATGTATGGCACAAATCAAGAGGGAGGGCGAATTGAGTTTTCTAAAAATTTGACTTTCAAAACATAAAATCAGAATTTTGTTGCAGCGGAATTAGAAAGCATTTGTGAGAGTTAATTATCAAGTTTAGAACTTCCTCACCAAGCTTATTGCCAGTTTAGAAAGACTCTGCGAAGAACAGTTATTGCGTTTAGAACTGCTTCACAAAGCTTAAGCAAATTTAGAAAGACTTTGTGAAGAATAGTTATTGCGCTTTGAACTACTCCACAAAGCTTATTGCAAGTTTAGAAAGACTCTGTGAAGACAATTATTGCGTTTAAAACTGCTTCACAAAGCTTAAGCAAATTTAGAAAACTCATATTGTGATTTATACTAAATGTAGAAGGACAAATTAGAACTTGGTATAATCACAATACAGAAATCCAGAGTTCTAATGTTCCACAATTAGAACTTGGTATAACACAAACAGAAAATCCAGCGTTCTAATGTTCCACAGAGATTTAAAAGGCTTAATTCACGTTTAGAAACAGAAAAACTCATTAACAACTTTACTATTTCTAAAAAGATTAATAGTTGTGTAAACAGGAATATAATCAAGGAAAAAACTTTAGAAAATAAAAAGAAGATAAATATAGATGATCTATAGTAATTCGCAGCTAACTCGCTTACATCTGCTCCCCACAGACTTATCCTTTGAGTCCTCCACTATTATTATCTCGTATATTCAAGAGAAGAGACAAAACTTACTTTGACAAAAAGGAAATAGTATTCAACAAACCTAGATCTAACCTTTGTCCCACTAGGAATTTCGGAATGTTCTAGTCCAACTCAACCGCTTCTGTTTTGCAAAGAACAGAAACTCACATCAAGACATTAGAATCTCACACAAGCCATGGAAGGTCGCCTTAGATAACCTATTACACTACTAGCTTTTCACCTAAGCATATTACAACAAAAATTTTTTCATTTAAAAAACTTCTAGGGACCTTAAAGCCAAGATTACAAGAATTCTATATTAGACGGAAGAAACGCAGATTATAAGCATTAGGAAAAGAACAAGGAAAAAAGATTTAGAAAATAGAAATGAAGTTCAGAACTATTCTCCTGGAAAAAATTTTCTTTTCTCTTATTGAAACAAATTCATTTGAAGCAAATAGAAAAGAAATAAGGGGTTTAAAGAGAGAGGCTTTTAGAGGAGTATGAAATTTCAATCCAATGGACTCTTACTGTTATGAGCAAAAAACGTTAAATTCTCAAAAGAAGAAACAACGTTCTTAGTTAAGAGGAAATAAAAATCTCCCATTATAAAAGACATTGATTTCTTTGCTTTTTAAAGAATTTTCTTGACTTTTTTCGAAAAATAAATCAAGACATTAGAATCTCACACAAGCAGAAGGTCGCTTGATAACCTATTACACTATAGCTTTTCACCTAAGCTATTACACAAAAATTTTTCATTTAAAAACTTCTAGCCTAAAGCAGATTACAAGAATCTATATAGACGGAAAGAAACGCAATTATAAGCATAGGAAGAACAGAAAAAAGATTTAGAAAATAGAAATGAAGTTCAGAACTATTCTCCTGAAAAATTTTCTTTTCTCTTTGAAAAATATTTCTTGAAGCAAATAGAAAAGAAATAAGGGGGTTTAAAGAGAGAGCTTTTAGAGATATGAAACTTTCAATCAATGGACTCTTACTCTTGCAAAAACTAAATTCTCAAAAGAAGAAACAACGTTCTTATAAGAGGAATAAAAATTCCATTATAAAAGACATTGATTCTTTGCTTTAAAGAATATCTTTGACTTTTCGAAAATAAAAAGATATGTGAATCTTTTGCAAATACTCAATTATTTGTTGCCAAAAATAATTAGGCCAAAATCTTTTTCATTTAGGTACATGGAATTAAAAGAGGAAAGATTTGACTTTTCTTTTTAAGGCAATTTTGCAAAAATGATTTTTAAGAGAGATAAAAATATCTTTGTGCTTATAAAAGAATATTCTCTCTGTCCTACAATACATCCTAAGATACTTACCACTAGAAAAATGTTCAATAAGCTTCATAATCTTTAAAGAATCTTAAATTGTAAGAACTTGCCTTCTTTAGCAATTTCCATATTAAAAATCCATATAAAATAACTTTAACACATACAAGAATATTAAATTTATTTGGTTTGCATAATCATCAAAATTGCAAGATAAAATTGACCCTTGAGCCAACAATAAAACTAAGGTAAAATCCAAAAAATCTTCTCTTAATAAAAAGAGTAATTTTTTTTATTTGTGGTAAAGTGTATTCTCAAGCCAGTTTATTTGTGGTAAGGTTAAATCTCTTCAAGTGATCTCTCCCATCTTTTATGATTGGTGCTGAAAGGCACTCATCAACCAAAATTAAATAAACAAATAAAAGAACAAATATCAAAATCAGTATAAAATAAAGTCATAATTTTTCTGCGGGACTTCCCTGTGTTATATAAGATGTTCAAAAAAATTAGAGAAATTGTAGGAATCTCAATACACACTATAGGAATATCTTTTCCTGAAACCAAACTCTCCCAATGGCAGATTTGTCGTTTAAATCTCTCATTAGGAGTTTGTCATCCAAAAAAAATTTTTAATTTATTCTTGAATTAAATTCTGATACTATTGTTTCATATTTGTCAGGTCCCTAAATGAGTTGCTTAATTATATATTTTTATTAAATTACTAGACTTATGGAGTATGCTTTTTCCTATTTAAAGTAGTTAAATTAACCTTAAGTAACACCACCAAATCCTTCTGTTTTTTCATACTCACTATTAGATTGAGTTTGCTTGGTACAACTCGGGGATCTTACTCTGCTTAAGGAAATGGATTCTGATTTGCACCAAGCAAGCTTTACCCCTCTGTGTGCAAGTTTGTTTCTCTCTATGGATAGCTAAAGTTCCAACCTTAGAGTCCGCCTTCATTCTCTTCTATTCTTTTTTTTCTTTGTAATTGGTGGGTACTTGCACTTTTGAATACTATTTAAGCTTTCATATGCAGTTAGGTCTTTTATGAATCATATTTAAACCTACATAACATATGCTTTTATTTGTTTAGCCAAATATGATAAAGATACTTTTATCCTTCCGTTTAATCTTCACTAATGTGATATACCTTAATAATAATAAATTACAATGCATGTAAAATTTCTTTGGCTATTATTTTCGCATTTTGAAAACTTTTTTTGCATATAAATGTCCAGAAACATTTTGGGCCCTTTACATAAAGCAAGTAATTTAGAAACGAATTTTCTCTCTAGAACCGAAAGTTGAAAAGGAACCGGAATCCTTTCAAGAGGTATAGAAAGCGAAATGGGTACAAGCCATGAAGGAAGAAGTTAAATCTTTGGAAGAAAATTAAACATGGGATTTAGTCCCAAAGCCAAGAGATTTAAAGCTCATATCATGCAATGGGTTTACAAGATCAAGACTCGTCCAGATGGATCAATTGAGAGATACAAATCTCGATTAGTAGCTCAAGGATTTTCACGACAATATGGACTAGACTATGATGAGACGTTTAGTCCAGTAGCCAAGATTGCAACTGTTCGTGTTTACTAGCACTTGTAGCGTGCAAGTCATGGAATCTGTGGCAGATAGATGTGAAAAATGCATTTCTGAATGGAGAGTTGGATCATGAATTTTACATGGAGCAATCACAAGGGTTTGAAAATAAGCTTTGCCCTCAACATGTTTACAAGTTGAAGAAGGAACTATATGGACTCAAACAAGCCCCGAGAGCTTAGTATGGAAAAATTGCTAAGTTCCTTGTTCACAATGGTTATACAATTACACTAGCTGATTCTAGTTTATTTGTCAAAGCTCAGGAAGGGAAACTAGCAATCCTTCTGGTTTATATTGATGATCTCATCATTACTGGAGATGATGAGACTTAGGTCCAACATACAAAGGAGAATATATCAGTTTGCTTTCAAATGAAAGAACTTGGAGAATTAAATCACTTTCTTAGATTAGAAGTGGAATGCACAAAGGATGGAGTGTTCCTATGTCAGCAAAAGTATGCAAAAGATTTACTCCAGAAGTACGGAATGCTCAATTGTAAATCTCTTGCTCTTCCAATTGAGATCAACACCAAACTAAGTATTTCAGAAGGCAAAGATTTGGAGGATTCAAAAATGTATAGACAGATAATTGGAAGTTTAATCTATTTGACACTAACAAGACCAGATATTGCATTCACAGTTGGAGTAGCAAGTCTATTCATGCAGAATCCAAAAAAGCCTCATTTGGAAGTAGTTCGAAGAATTTTGAGGTATATTAAAGGAACAATTGATCTCGGGTTATTTTATAAAAGCAAAGTTGATTGCAAATTAGAGGGCTATTGTGATGCTGATTATGCTGGTGATTATGACACAAGAAGATCGACAACAGGCTACATATTTAGTCTGGGTTCTATAGCAATTACTTGGTGTAGTAAAAGACAACCAATGGTGGCACTCTCAACCACAGAAGCATAGTATCAAGCAGCAACAATGGCAGCACAAGAGAGCACTTGGTTGGTACAATTGCTCAAGGATTTGCATCCAGAAATTGATTATCCAATACCGTTGTATTGTGATAATTTGTCAGCAATCAACTTAGTTGAGACTCCAGTGTTTCATGCAAGAACCAAATATGTGGAGGTGCAATATCACTTCATAAGAGAGAAAGCAATTAAAGATTAAATTAAGATAATGAATGTGAAGACAAAAGATTAGTTGGCTGACATTTTCACCAAAGGATTGCCTAGTGCAAAATTGGAGGAGTTTCCAAAGCTACTTGGTTTGATCTCAAGAGAAGCTATAAAGAAATATAATTAGTGATGAGGTGGAGTGTTAAAAGTAATCACAAATTAGAGTAAAAAAATAAATATAAAATATATTAAAAAGTAATGGTCACATGTCACCTTGCTATTGGTGGAGAAGTTGGCATTGGAATTGTCTTGGCAACCAAGACGGTTGCTTATAAATAGGTAGCAAAGCAACATACGTCAACACACAAAAATGCAAAGCAAAGAGAGTAAAAGGTGACTGTGCGCGAGTGTGGTGAGGTTGTGAAAGAGAATGGTTTTTTTTAAGTTGTACAAATTTTAGTTTAATACCTAATAAAATAAATATTTCCAATATTCAATTGGATATTTTTTTTTTATTTTATTTTATTATTCTCTCTATCCTCCTTATTAAATCCTACATATTCATACCAATGTCACACTTCTTATTGGTTCTTTTACATATACTAGTATTAACAACGTGCTTTGCATGTTAAGACTCGTTATATTTACTCATTTTTTTAATTTTCTTTTTTAAATATGGTTATTGATTTTTTATAATATAATAAAGATGATAATAAGTTATTGAGTAAAATAAATAAATATATTAATTAGGTACTGTTTTATTTAATATTTTACTGTAAATATTATAATATTTATGTAGACAAAATGAATGAATATTGTAAAAAAAAAAAATCGAAAAGGAATGCAAAAATAAAACTTTATAATTGAAAAAAGGTGGAAAAATAAAAATAATAATAACCTAAGCAAAATAATACCTCTAAGATTAAGAAATAAAATAGTTAGAAGAAAAGTTTTTGACATAAAATAATAATAAATCTTATAGCCAAAAAAAATTAAAATTTTGTATGTTTATTTTTTTATAAGAATTAAAAAAAATATATTGGTAATTTGTAATAAATCGGTAATTTAATAAGATTCCCGATTGAGTTATAATAATAATTTCTAAATTAATATTTTACTATTGAAAGTATAACAATATATATATATTTTTTTTGAATATGTAAATGTGCTTATATATTCATTGTATCAAACAGCAATACATTAGAAATAATCTCTGGATGAATATTATTCCACTCCAAAGAGCTAAGCATAAAAACAGCCAATGGAGCTAACTGATGGGCATACTGATTTGCTGACTTCTTAACAAAATCAAAAGAACAAGAAGCAAACTCCTCGATGAGAGCTTTGCAATATGAAATAACATTATCGAAATATGAGTGATCCACTCTATTACTTTTTAAGGCTTGAACCACCAATATAGAATCAGTCTCCATTGCAATAGTCTCCAAAAAACTTTTGTTTTTCACCCAACTAAGAGCTTCTCTAAACCCAATAGCTTCTGCCATTACCGAATTAAAGACACCATCCACCACTCAAAGCTTGCCTCCTCTATTACATCCCTGCATGTCCCTTAAAATCCATGCAACACTAGCCCTATGAGAAGAATGATCATAAGCTGCATCCATATTGCATTTCAATGAATCTTCTGCAGGAGGACACCATTTTGCTGGAAATGGAACACGAAGCACACGAGTCACAGTTTTTGCAGCTTGAGCAGATTGCCACTCCACCGATAATTGTTAAGATCGGAAAATAATCTCATTAGCGGACAAAAATTTATTATCCCACACCAGCTTATTCCTACCAAACCAAATAAACCACACAACACAAAAGATCAGTCCCCACTTTTATTTATCAAAGTTGTGCTCAAAAGCCAACCATGCCTCAGAATCAGCAAACTGGACCCGAACAATCCCATCCAAAAGCTCCCAGCAGTGTTTGGCAAAAGAACAATACAAAAAGCAATGCAAAACGGACTCAATCTCAGTATGACAAGTTGGACAAAGCGGATCCACCTGGATTTTCTGAACCAGAAGACTCTACAGCAGAGGGATAGTATTTGTAGCGAGCCGCCACATGAAATTAGCTACTTTTGGCGGCAGCGGTACCTTCCATAGCTAGTCCCAATGCAAACCATGATCTACCGGAGCTTGAGTGGTCTGAGATCCCAGCAAATTGTACCCACTACGTACCGTATAGACTCCTTTAAGCTCCCACCACAAAAACCAACCATCACCCTTCTGCGATGAGCAAAGAGGAATCTGAAGGACAACCGATACCTCATCATTCGAAAGCAGGCGCCGCAAAACCTCAATATCCCAACCTTCCTTACTCGGCAGCATCAAGTCGGCAATAAGCACCCCCTCTAACCATGTGTGATTTGCACTAGTAACAAAAGGAGAAGTAGGATTCGGTAACCATGGACTAGTAAAAGCATCTGTTGTGCCATCACCAAACCTCCACAAACTACCCGCTTTCAATAAAGGCTAGCTATCCATAATAATTTTCCAAATATAACTTGAATTCTGCCCAAGCTTTGCTACCAACAAACAAACATCTCAAAAACACTTCGCCTTATAGAGTCATGAGACTAGAGCTTTTGGTCGTGTGAGAAATTTCCATCCCTATTTAGCAAGAAGCACAATATTGAAATCATGAAGTGTATGAAAACCAAGCTCGCCTTGACTTTTACTTCTCGCAAGCTTACGCTAATTACACTAGTGAATACCATATTTGATATCAACCGAGTTGCACCACCAGAACCTATTCATGGGCTTCTCAATAACGTCACATATGGTAAACGGCAAAGCAAAAACCGTCATAAGGTAATTCGAAATTGCCTGAACAACCATTTTCAATAAAATTTCTTTTCCCGCACGGGATAAAAGAGAAGCCTTCCATCCATGGAGTTTCTTCCAAACTTTATCCACCACATAATTAAAAACCTGACACTTGTTCTTCCAACCACCGAACGCAGGCCCAATTACCTTGAAAAACCAGGAGCTCGTTGAACATTTAATAGATTACAAATATCATCCAGGACTCCCTCATCAGTATTCCAACTGAAACAAATTTCAAACTTCGAGTAGTTTACCAACTGGCCAGACGCACGTTGATACAATTGCATGCATTGTTTAATAATAAAAGATTCAGCTAAGGTAGCATCAAAGAAATAGAGCGCATCATCCGCAAAGAACAGATGGCTTACAGAAGGTGCATAACGAGAGATCTTACAACCCGTTAATTGACCATGCCTAATTAAATATTACAATAAACAAGATAAAGCCTCAGCACAAATGATAAATATCTACGGTGAGAGCGGGTCACCTTGTGTTAGCCCACGAGAAGGAACAATCGAACCATAAAAACTTCCATTATGACTAATTCGATAAGTTACCGTAGAGAACATCATCATTAACCTTATCCACCCAAGCACTATAAAAACCCATTTTCAACATTAGCTACTGCAGAAAAGTCCATTCAATACGATCATAGGCTTTAGACATGTCTGTCTTCAAAGCTGCAATACTAACCGCACCTTCGTTTTAAGCAATGCATAACAATCAGACCATAAAAACTCCCATTATGACTAATTCGATAAGTTACCGTAGAGAACATCGCACTATAAAAACCCATTTTCAACATTAGCTATTGCAGAAAAATCCATTCAATACGATCATAGGCTTGAGACATGCCTGTCTTCAAAGCTGCAATATTAACCGCACCTTGAGTCTTTCGTTTTAAGCAATGCATAACTTCGAAAGCGATCATTACATTATCGGTAATGGACCGATCAGGAATGAAAGCACTCTGAGCCTCCGAAATCACTGTCGCCAACATGTGTTTGAGCCGATTGGCCATAGCTTTCGATACAATTTTATCAATGACGTTACACAAGGAGATTGGTCGAAGGTCTGATACCTGCTGCGGCTGATTCTTTTAATTGGATTATTTTTATTTTTTTAGAATTATCTACTATAAGAGTTAGCTAACATAGATTAGTTGTGACTATTGTTTTATCATTTATTATTTAATTATTTTATTACCAAATAGTTTTATTTGAATAATTTTTAGATCTTTTTAATAACTTAAAAATTAATATAAAATAATTAACACTTTATACAATAATATAGTAAACTAAAATATTAATTTCACAAGATAAAATATTAAGAATCCTAATTTATTAAAAATATTAATAATAAATTTTTTTATTTTATTTTAAATTTAAGTAAGAAATCAATAAAAAGAATCTGATTACAGATTTTTTATAAATAATATTTTTCTTATTTTATTTGTTATCCTATCAAAATAGAGAGCAATTTATTAAATTTAACCTTTTTTTCATTCAAATGTTACACTTCTTATTAGTTCCTATATATATATACTTACTTCATTCTTAATTATTGTAATTACCAATACATTATAAATGAAATAAAACAAATCTAATTGATAGATATTAGATCTAGCGAGATCTTAGGAACGGATAATAGGAATGAGATAGAGGCGTGATATTAGGAGATAATGCCAAATATCTCTCGCCCAATATTCCTATATCGTGTATATAAAGGGGAGCCCTCCTATGGGAAAAGGTTAATGCCCATTTATACAATTTATGATAATTCAAATTCCAATATTTAGATTATTGAGGTATTCTCCGTAGCTATCACTAATTATACAAAAGGTATAAGAAATTATATTCTATTAAACAAACTTAATTCTTTGAAAGCTTTTAATACGCAGACAAGCAAGCCATGGCATTTGCAAGAATTGAAAAACAAAATTAAATTACATAAATCAACACTAACAAAAATAGAAACGAAAATCTTATAAGATAATGTAACAATGATACGAAAATAAAACATAAAATAACTGAAAGTAACATTATGAAGTTTGCATATACATGAAAAAGAATATTAAAAGACTTCCTCTGCAATAACACAGTTCATTCCTTATGCAATAAACCAACTTTTATAATGTAATAAATAAATTTAATAGCTTTACACTTAATAAAAATTGTAAGGCTTCTATTAATAAATATTAACTAATAAAACTCGTTCTATTAATCTTCATTAATATTAGCTGGTATAATAATAGGTAGTAATATAATGTTATATAGTATTAACTAGTTATTATATAGCCGGTATATGTTCTATTTAGTAACATTAGCTAGCACGGTATAAATATTAATTAATCTAGTAAAACTTGTTCTAGTAAACTCTTGCTATATGCTAATTCCTTACTTTTATGTTTTGGATTTAATAATTTTTTTTTATTTAATAGCTTTAAAATAGAAAATTAATTAACAAATTAAAATTAAATTATTTTTATTTTTTAATCAATAAAATTAAATTCCTTAAAGATTTTATATTCTTAACATATTAATGTACACCTTATTTAGTATATAACGAGCGCATAATCCCGGCACGATACACCGGTTAATTATAAATTTAATTTTTAAAGTTGTATCATGATATAATAGAATTTAACATTTTATAATAAAAATTTGCATATGATACTTCATATTTGTTGACTTTGTATATAATAATTTAACTTATAGAAACATTATGGATATTATATTGACATTATCATGTACATGTAATCTATCTATATATATTTATATAATCCTGAAGTTAAAAAAAAAAAAAAAAAAAAAAAAAAAAAAAATTCCCTTAAAGATTTTATTATTCTAACATATTAATTAACACCTCGGATATTCTTAATCATAACGAAGCCATAATCCCGGCCACGATTACACCGACGTTAATTTTATAAATTTATATTTTACAAGTTTGGATATTCATGATATAATAGAATTTAACATGTTTATAATAAAAAATATTGCATGATGATACTTCATTATGTGTTGACTTTGTATATAATATTTAACTTATAGAAAACATTATGGATATCTATATTGACATTATCATGTAAACATGTAATCTATCTATTATAGTATTAATTATAATTCCTGAAGTTAAAAAAAAAAAAAAAAAAAAAAAAAAAAAAAAAAAAAATTCAATATAATAAAAAAAAAAAAAAAAAAAAAAAAAAAAAAAAAAATTCAAGAATCTTACATGGCACTCTTTCTTTCAACATTCCTTTTTTTCTTTTTTTTTTTTAAATTTTCTAATTTTTTAATTAAAATTTTTAAAAATTTATTTTCCTATATCTAATATCTAATCTAACATATATCCAAAATTTTAAATAATTAATAATTTAATTAATTTTAAAAATTTTTTACCTCCATATGAATTATTTCCAATGATTTTCTTCCATGATGGTTTTTTACTTATTTTTTGTTGCTTTTCAATTCTCCGAGCTTTGATCGTTTCGGCCAGACATTTACGGTTCTAATGAAGGTGGAGCACTTGGAGGGTATACAACTTACGAGGCCTGTTGGTTTTAATGAAGCTGGAGCACGTGGAGGGTCTGGTGTTGGTGCTTCACTATTTTCAGGTCTTGGTTTAAATGGCTTGGGTGATTGTAGCGAACCTGGTGATTTGTTTGGAGCTGGCCTTCCAGATTTTGAACAACAATTGACTCGAAATCCTAAAATTACGAGAGAAATAATGAATATGCCTGTATATATTTGTTGAATTTAAATTTATAATTAATGTGAATTTTGCTATATGTATATTTTATGTTGGCATTTAATTGTGGAAAATTAGGATTATTTAGTGGATAACATTAAGATAGTTTTGGATTTTTGACCGAAGATTACTTATACGGTTAAACACTATCCATATGGATATTATTAAGATATGAATGGATAGATAGAGATTTTCCTTTCTCGCTTCGCTTACTGGCTGCCTATAAAAACACGGAGCCCTGTTCGTCCATTCATTGTGTGTTTATACAAAGCAAAGCAAAGGAAAAGAAGAGAACAAAATGACAAACTCTAGCCCATTGATTGTGTGTTTTGGAGAGATGCTCATTGATTTTGTGCCGGACGTAGCTGGTGTTTCCTTGGCGGAGTCCGGTGGTTTTATCAAAGCACCTGGCGGTGCACCCGCCAATGTTGCTTGTGCCATAACCAAACTTGGTGGTAACTCCGCCTTCATTGGCAAGTTCGGAGACGATGAGTTTGGGCACATGCTGGTCAATATCTTGAAGAAGAATGGAGTTAACAGCGAAGGCGTGCGTTTCGATGAGAATGCTAGAACTGCATTGGCTTTTGTGACGTTGAAGAAAAATGGAGAAAGAGAGTTCATGTTTTATAGAAACCCTAGTGCTGATATGCTCTTGAAAGAATCTGAATTGAATCTTGATCTTATTAAGCAAGCCAAGATCTTCCATTATGGATCTATTAGTTTGATAACTGAACCATGCAGATCGGCTCACATGGCAGCCATGAAAGCCGCCAAAGCCGCTGGAGTTTTGCTTTCTTATGATCCTAATTTAAGGCTCCCTCTGTGGCCTTCTTCTGATGCCGCTAGAAAAGGCATCAAAAGCATATGGAAAGAAGCTGATTTTATTAAGGTAGTTATAAATTTTTTTTTTTTTTCTTAGAGTGGCCCGTGGCCCCAAGGAGCTCCACCCCTTCCAGACCTAATATATTAAAATTCATTTTTGCTGATCCAACCGTTATTGGTTAATTTGTAATTTGGTTTAGGTGAGTGATGAGGAGGTGGCATTCTTGACACAAGGAGATCCTAGCAAAGAAGAAGTGGCCCTTCAGTTGTGGCATGAAGGCCTGAAGTTACTAGTAGTGACAGATGGAGAAAAGGGATGCAGATACTTCACCAAGAGTTTCAAAGGAAAGGTGGCTGGTTTTTCTGTTAAGACAGTTGATACAACTGGAGCTGGTGACTCTTTCGTTGGTTCACTTTTGTGCTCTGTCGCTAAAGATACTTCAATTTTTGATGTACTTTTCTTTAATTACCTTTTTCCTTTATTTATATTAATTAATTTACATAATTGTATGGCTAATTAATTATTATGAATCAATTGCAGAATGAAGAGAAATTGAAGGAGGCATTGACATTTGCTAATGCATGCGGAGCAATTTGTACGACTCAGAAAGGAGCAATTCCAGCCCTGCCATCCCCTTCTGATGCCCAAGCACTGATCAAGTCCAAGTCCAACTAGTCTTTCTTTTCCTTTTTTCTTTTTTCTTTTTTCTTTTTTAATGTTAATTCCAATGTTCAGCATTTTATGTTGTTTTAAATGTTTGTATTTTATTTCATTTCTTAATTTTTTTTTTTTATTCGAATAAATTGTATTGCCATTAGTGAATTGAAAACAAGCTTTGGCTTTTAGTCTTTGGCTCTTGAAACTAGAGATATAAAGAAAATAATGAGTTGTCATTAATTTTTATCTCATGATTTGCATACATAAAAGAGAATGCAAAAAGTAATCGCCAAAGCCTAGTACATTCTTAATCTATCTTTCTTTCAACTTTTTAGATTTGTTTTTATTTTTTTAATATTTTTTTTAAATATCCTTTAATTTGTATTTGGTGTGAATACTTCAACCTAGATGCTCATTACAGTGATGGCATTTTGTCTTATTGAATTCAGTTCTTTCCTCTCAGATAATCAATAATTCCTAATTCCTATAGGTTGAAAAAAATAAAAAATAAAAAATAAAGATTTATTTGTATCATTTAAAATTTAATTTTATTATCTAAAATATTAAAAATTATATCTAATAATTTCATTTAAAAATCATTAAACTATTTGAAAAAAAATTATCTCTACGTATATTATCTACATCAATATCTTAAGTTTTGAATTTTTTTTCTTTTATATATTTTATTTTATTATACAATAAGTATTTTATATAAAATTAAAAATTCAGATTTTTAAATATATATGGTTATATTTATCTTAGTATTCAATCTTATCCATAAAGATGAGCCTAATTTATCACTATTTTAAAATTTTAAAATAAAAAACATTCAATTGGATTTCAAAATGATATTAGAAATTAAAAGTTTTTCTAAATAGCAATATAATTCAATAATGAACATTATTCAAACAATTCATTGATAAGCGCACGAGATTTCGATTAGTTATAAATAAATAATAATAATATTTCGACTATTAGATATATAATATTTCTCAAATGAAAATGGGCAATTTGTAAAAATAAAATTTAAAATTAATTTTTATTAATTTTTTATCCTTAAAATTTTAATTTGAGTCAATTTAGGCAAAAAAAGTCAAAAAAATATAAATTTATATAGATATTATTCTTGGGTTTAAATAAGATATCAAATATTATTATTTTATTAATTGGACTAATAAAAGAATAAATAAACACTATTTTAAAAATAGTATTAATAGACCTTTATATAAGTTTATAATATTAATCTTTATAGACCTTTATATAAGTTTATAATATTAATCTTTAATTTGCTTAAAAAATTATTACTGACATTTAATAATTAATATTTGATGGATAATTGTTTATTATAAATATAAATATATATAGTATTTAATGTAAATAGTAATATGTACGTATGTAAACCACCAAAATTTTCAAATTCTAAGGATTTCTACATTATGAGAGAAGATATATGGCATTTATTGATTAATTAGGTCTAAGAAAATGAAAAGTTTGAAAATAAATCAAATTAATTAAAAACGTTAGTCATTAATAATTTTTATATAATGGTAATATCAATTTTATATATTATAAAAATTAACTATTCAAAATATTTATAATTATGCTTTTTAAAAAAATGCAATGGAAAACTCTTAAGTTTTGCTTATATAAATCCTTAAAAAATTAATTTAAGAAATTTTAACTAATTAATTATTTAAGTTATTGTAAGAATGTAATTAAAGAATAATAAATTGAAGGATTAATTGAAAAAAATAATATTGCATATAAATCTAATTAAATAATTATAAAAGGATTAAGTGGTAAATACTATTGTAGCAAGAATATAATTACACAATAATAGAAGGATTAAAAAAAATATTATATGATAAAATCAATGTTATGGAACAATGCTTTCCCACACGGCTTAGATATATATAGTAACATAATTTCTTATATTATTCAACAGAATTTAGATTTAAATAGAAAATTAATATAACCAATTAAAATTAAATTAACTTAATCTTCTCAACTAATAAAATTAAAATATGTAAAGATATTTATTATATTCTTACCATATTTAATATATACCTTATATATATATATATTTTTTTTTTTTTTTTTTTGGGAAACCTTATTTATATCTTATATATGGAGAATCCAAAATGTCAAGAATTAACAATGCCTTTAAGTAATTGAGGCAAAGAAGTAAATGTAAGTAAAAATACAATTAATTGAGGTACAAATCTGCTGAAACGAGCCAAGAATTTAGCTGCTTGATTTCCCTCGAAGACGATAGATTGTGGCTAGAAAGAGACATTGAAATCCCGAGACTAAATTCTTGATCTGAATGAACGAAACGAGGCGTTCTACGCTGAAGTTGAGGAAGTGATGAAGTCGATGGGTAAGTTTTTGAGTCACTCTCTATAATAAGGGAAACGGTGTTTAAGCTTTGACACCATTTTGAGACTTGAAAAATAAGGATTTGTTCAGCGCTTAAGAGTCCTCTGGCCATGACCTTGGGAAAGCAAGTATGCGGCATGAGGCTAACCTAAATGATCTCGAATTATGGCTCCTCCTGCGGAACGAAGAAGAAGAGTATGAAGCCATCACCGTTGAAGCTTGTAAAATCCTAGCTTGTGGTTTTACTCCAAGATACCAGCTTAATTTTCAATTTATTGCCAAAGAATTCAGGAAGGTAATCTTGAAATAAAGAAATGGGTTTGGCAATTTGGCATTCAGAGTGAAGCACTCCCCATTTTATAGATCGTGGTACGAATCTGTTCCAGCAATTGGGAATTATGAACCCCACCTCCTTCGCCCCCATGTGAGACAGCAGTGTATGCTGACCAAATTGAGTAGAGAATAATTTGGGAGATAAATCTCATTATTATACCTGGTGATGATTTAGGAGCATAAAGAATCCACCATGAGATTAGTTCCTGCCGAAGGGAATTTGCTGCTAACGGTTTAGTGCAGATTGAATCACGAAAGAATTTCCAAATCAGGGTGAATTGGGTTTTCAAAAAATAATTTTAGATTTTTAAAAACAAAATCTAGAATTCTAAATACAGCGGAAAAGTAAAGAACTTGTGAGAATAAGTTATGGATTAGAACATTCTCACAATGTTCTATTCATAAAAAATAGAAAGACTATGCAAAGTGCAGCTATTAATTAAAACTGCTTCATAATATCTTATTCAATATCAGAACTACTTTATGACGGAAAGCTATTGTAATTAGAACTTCCTTATAAAGTTTAGAAAATCATATAAGACTATGTGAGAGACAGTTAATAGAAATTAAGGTATTAGCTGTTGGTTGAATCCGACAAATTCTTTTCCAGGTACAAGAATCAGTGGTTTTAAAATTCATTTGATCTCTTCTATAATATTTCTTCCGTAGTAGCATTGCCCATAACGATTTTCCTTCGCAATATCTCCACCACAGTTTAATAGAATATGCTTCTTGGAGAGAGGATAGTGATCGGAGACCAAGACCGCCTTCTTCCACAGGGAAACAAAATTTGTCATATTTTAGCCAATGATGTCTGAGAGTTGTAGAGTCCGGAGACCAGAAGAAATCTGCAAATTTTTTTTCTAGGATAGCAATAATACTCTTCGGTATCTTTCGGCTTCAGATTTCTTTTACCTTCTATTTATGCCTCATAACAGAAGTGATAAAGAACCATTTATGGGATGCTTTGCGATCTCTTTCCCTCTGCAACACTTTCTTCATGGCTTGTTGGAGGGGACTTTAAATGTCATTAAGAACGCTGCAGAATATAAAGGTAACTCTTCTCCTTGTCGTCAACAGATTCCAAGATTTTCGTTTCTTGCTCAAATGACTTGTGGTTCCTTAGTGGATGTTTCCCTTCTATGGTGTAGCTACCTTGGACAGGTATACGGCTCTTAGGCAGGGTTTGGGGTTTGGGAGAGACTAGATCGAATTATGGCAACAATTTCTTTCTTCGATCTATTCTCCGATATTCATGTTCGTCATTTGAGTAAGGCTTCATCTGATCACTCTCCTCTTTTACTAAACTGCACCAAACTCAGTCAAAAAATCCCCAAGCCCTTCAGATGCCAACATATGTGGTTTACTCATGAAGGATTCCTTTCCATAGTCCAAGAGAATTGGAACAGAAATTTTTATGGGGGAGGTATGCATGGTATTTTCAAAAAATTGCACTCTCTAAAGCGTGCCATTCAATCCTGGAACCGAAGTCAGTTTTGGGAATATCTTTATGAGAAAGCATCTCGATTGGAAGAAGAGCTGCTATTGCTGAAAATCAATATTTTATCTGATCCCACTCCTCTAATCGTTTCTTCTGGAACCTAAAGGAAGCAATGCCTTCTTTAAAAAGACACAAGCAAGCAGCGATATTCTGGAGACAGACAGGCTACCATTAAATGGTTACAAGACGGGAGATGCAAACACTACTTTCTTCTACAATTATGTCAGAATGAAAAGAAAATTTTCAAAGCATATCCTTCTACCATTCAAGCAGCAGATGGAACATGGCTACAGGATTCGAAGGACATAGGAAAGGAAGCTGTACGTTTTTTTGAATCTTTATTTACTGCTGAGGAAGATCAAAATGTGTTTCCCTTAATTGAACTTATTCCATCGATTATCACAAGGGAACAGAACCAAATATATACCTTATATATATGATATGATTTCTTATTTCATCCAACAGAGCTTAGATTTAAATAGGGAATCAATATAATCAATCAAAATTAAATTTTATTTATTTTTTTACCAATAAAATTAAAGTCATCAATGATATTTTTATTAATTCATAAACTTAGTAGGAACATTTTAATATTCTGATTCAGTAATTAGGCATGAAGTGTGTCTGCTTTACTAAATGATACTAGTTTCTTAATCTTAACCATTGATCATTTGAAGGAAATTTCAAATCTAATTTACTATTTTCATTCTATCTTGCACAGGGATTTCTTAATCAATATTAATAGAAAACAATTAGAACATTTTCCCTAATTTACCTAGAGTGATGAATTCTCTCTTAATTACACAAGTATCTCCATATAGTACCCATTATGTCCAATTAATCATTGCCTATTATCCACGAATGAATAATGTGAATGAAAAATCAAAACATAAGGATCCCCACACAAGACAGCTTAGTAATTTCAAGTTAAAGGATCGCTTATACAACCATCACTTGCGTATTCCATAAACGCTAATAACTCTCCATATGGAATTCTCATGCACGTCAATTCAGTG